TCACCACAAATCCTGTCTCTCTCTCTCTCTCTCTCTCTCTCTCCTGTTGTTGCAGTCAGTGTCTCTCGCCCTGCCGCTTTTGTCTGGGACTCATGTTCTTCTTCTGTTTCCTGTTTCCTCTGACTCACTGTTCGGTGGCTTCAGTCGGCTGCCTGTTGCACAACATGGATTAACGTGTGTGTGTGTGTGTGTGTGAGTTGAGTTCAGGTCCTGCAGGATTTCAACTGTTGAAACCGCTCTCAGTCAGTGTGTACATGTCCTCTTCTGAACAGTGACATGTCTCGAAGTGTCTCGAAGTGTCTCGAAGTGTCTCTCGGTCAGACCAGCTGTCCCCTCTCATCAAAAATAAGTACAATGATCAAGATAACTGACCTGTGATTGGACCATTTGAAGAAATGTCTGCATGCCGATTGAATGGATCAGACTAACACAGTGTGACATCAGACTTTATTAATGATGTCACAGGAAGCAACAAAGTAAGGAAACTGAATGTTTTTGATGAAGTGAAATAAAATAAACGTTTACTCTGCTTGTGACCTTATCCTTGTCTCTATCACTTGTCCATTATGTGTCCAGCACCTGCTGATACTAGACTGAAACCAGCTGACACTCGACAGAAACCAGCTGACAGCAGACTGAAACCAGCTGACACTACAGAAACCAGTTGACGGCAGACTGAAACCAGCTGACACTAGACACAAACCAGTTGACAGTAGACTGAAACCAGCTGACAGTAGACAGAAACCAGCTGACACTAGACAGAAACCAGCTGACATTAGACTGAAACCAGCTGACAGTAGACCGAAGCCAGCTGACAGCAGACTGAAACCAGCTGACAGCAGACTGAAACCAGCTGACAGTAGACAGAAACCAGCTGACACTAGACAGAAACCAGCTGACATTAGACTGAAACCAGCTGACAGTAGACTGAAACCAGCTGACACTAGACAGAAACCAGCTGACACTAGACACAAACCAGCTCACAGTAGACTGAAACTAGCTGACACTAGACAGAAACCAGCTGACACTAGACTGAAACCAGCTGACAGTAGACCGAAGCCAGCTGACAGCAGACTGAAACCAGCTGACAGTAGACTGAAACCAGCTGACAGTAGACTGAATGATGGTAGGACATGGTCTAGCCAGTCCAGGTCTAGACCAGGTCCTGGTGAAGCATCAGAACATAATTAATTATTTATGAATCCATTAATTAACTGGGGTTTATCAGACACTGCAGGGTATGTTATAGTCTGACATCACAGTCACAAACTAAAAACATATAGTAAATATACCATGTGACGTCATCATTGTAAACACTCACGTTCATGTACTCAGCGTAGGCGCGCTCCCGTTGCTCCCGCCCATGATCTGCATCAGCGGCCGTGCGCCTCGTCCTCTGTCTCCGGTCACGTCACCACTGAGCCCGGTGACACAATCGGTCCATTATTCCCAGAGAAACACACAACTGTGCAGGGAGCATGCGCGCTACTCTCAGGTCAGCCCCAGGTCGGCGGGAGCTTGCACAGTTTACAGAGCAAAAAGTTTCAGCGGGAATTCTCCAACTTTTTCTTCTGCTGATTTCAGTCCGATTCTGCTTCTGTTAGTCCAGAGAAGATGTGAGCGGCAGCGGGAAGTTTCTTCTTTTTCTCCCTCTCTGAACTCTCCCTCTCTCTCCTACCGCTCCTTCCTCCTCTCTCAGTAAACAGCGCGTCTCTACACAGCAGCCAATGAGCGAGCAGCAAACACCTTCCTCATCATCATCATCATCATCATCATCATCATCATCATCATCAGGTCCAGGTTCTATGTCCGGGTCCATGGGGTCTGATCCGGATCATCCATCTCTCTCTGTAGTTTGGTAGAAGATGCAGGACGGGATCTGCGCGTGACCGAGCAGCGAGTGAACAAAACGCGTGCGTGTGTGTCTTAGAGGGAGGAGCAGCAGGAGGAGGGTGGAATCACAGATTTGTATTTTGTCCACGTGTCAATAAAGTTTCATTGAAAGTGACGTCAGATGTTTACAGTGTAGTGCCTCAGGGTGACCTCTGGTGGTCAGTTTGCTTCATTACAGACCGAAACTACAGACGTCTGTCCGCTTCTCTCCTCTGACGTCACTGATCACGTGACCACGACAGTTTACATTTCACCTGATGACGTCACTACACCTGAGTTTACCTGCAGGTGTCAGAGGTTCCTCTCTACCCTCTAATGAGGATGATGGACAACTTCACAAGCATGTAGCTGGACAGGTAAACCAGAGTTACCTGGACCGGATTCAGTTAAACCAGATAACAGGAAGTTAATCTGGATATGTTAAACCTGATTTGTCAGAGTTCTTCCTGTTGTCATCTATGACATTATCATTCACCACAGACTGACAGTAATTCTACTTCAAACTCTGATTAATTTTTCATATTTTATTTGCTCCCAGGTTTGACTCATTTAATGAATCTAATAAGTCAAATGTTCGAAGTCTGTCACAATTTCACATGGTAGTCAAATTTTATATTTTGCTCTTGTTATGTGAAAGGTGCTGCTCTGCTGCCGGTGGACACCTCCATGTTTATGATTGGCCATGTGACCACTGGGCTCAGTGAAGCCAGAGAATTAACATATCCTGGATTTGTTGAACCTGCTTTGTAGTTCACATTCAGTCCAATTCAATCAGCTAGAGTGCTCGTCTGATGTTACTGTGATGTGACACCAGATCTCTGAATGACTGTCAATCATCTGTTACATCATCATGTGATGTCACTTTATTACATAGAAACACAACAAACACTCGTCTTTACACACAGAGACCTTAGCATTACCCATGAAAACAATGAGCTCTGCTAGCAGTGGTAGCATTGCCCATTAAAATCAATAAGCTCTGCTAGCAGTGTTAGCATTGTTCTGTTCAGTTTAACAACCACCGCCTGAACAGCTGTCAGTCATGTGACGGTCATGTGACGGAGAGGCCAGGTGTTGTTAACAGTTCATATACAGGTGATAACCAGGTGGTGCAGGTGAGGTCATATGAACGTCAGGTGCTGGTCCTCACTGTAGCCGTAGGTGTGTTTGTGCTGCTCGAACAGCTCAGTCAGACTCTGCAGGTAAACTTTATGAAGACTCTCGATGTCCTCGCTGCTGGGACTGGGAGTCTGGGCAACCGAGATTGGCCTTCCCACTGAAAACAGAGAGAGAGAAAGAGAGACATGAAGGAACCACAAAACAAGCATGACAACAAACGGCTCGGATGCTAACTGAGGCTAACCGATGCTAAAACGACGGCATCTGAAACCGACAATCATCGTCCCCTCTGGGTTAATGTTACATTAACATTACCTTAACATTAGGCTAAGATTAGGCCAGCATTAGGGTAATATTAGGGTTAACATTATGTTACATTAACGTTACATTAGATACATTTTAGAGTAACTCTGCGGTCATACCGACGGTGTGTATGGACTTCCTGTAGGGTATCAGGCCGAAGCTGTACTGGAAAACTCCTCTCGCATGAAACAGAGGCAGTGCTACTCCCATGATGCTCTGCAGCCGGTTCTATGGACAAAGGAAACATACTAGCATTGACAATAAAGTATCTATCTATCTATTTATCTATCTATGACAGTTAAAGTTACACTAAAAACAAAAACAACAAACTAAATATTCTCAGGAAAGTTCTTGTGGTTGCTAAGATGTAGACAGTGTTCTAAGTGGTTGCTACAATATATTACACAATTGCTAATAGGGGTCTGTTACATAGCAACCACCCAGCAACATTCAGTCTCAGATGTTGCTAGGTGGTTGCTGGGGTTTTGCGGTGGATGTTCTGGCTGCGTCTTGGGATCGGACTCCTTCATGAAGACTTTCTGACTTTCTAAATATGTTGTTAAATGTGTGGTTAAAACATGTGGTTAAAATGTGTCGTTACAACGTGTCGTCCATTGAGACATGAGCTCTGACCTGCAGCATCCTAAGAGAAGAGCCGCTGGGATTCTCCATCTGATCAAATAACTCGTTTTCTCCAAAAGAAAACACTGGAACCAGCTGAGCTCTGCACACACACAGTGACACACTGTCAGCGTACTGCCTGTAGCCCTACCCCTCTGAGCCCTGCCCCCTTGATAAACTCCACCCACCCGTGTTTGAAAGCCAGTTTAATGAAGCCCTTCCTGTTTCGTATCTGAAAGAAAAAACACCTTTAGTCATTTATGAATCATTAAAGTAAGAAGCAAATGTTCAGTCTCTGTTTACATGTTATACATACATATATACACACATATATATACATATATATATACACACACATATATATATATATATATATATATATATACATACATATATATATATATACACATACATACTCTATGTATATATATATACATACACATACATATATATACATATATATACACATACATATATATACATACACATACATATATATACATATATACATACATATATACATATATACATATATACATATATATACATACACACGTGGACGAAATTGTTGGTACCCTTCCGTTAAAGAAAGAAAAACCCACAATGGTGACTGAAATAACTTGAAACTGACAAAAGTAATAATAAATAAAAATTTACTGAAAATTAACTAATGAAAATCAGACATTGCTTTTAAATTGTGGTTCAGCAGAATCATTTTAAAAAACAAACTAATGAAACTGGCCTGGACAAAAATGATGGTACCCCTAGAAAAGATTGAAAATAATTTGACCATAGGGA